CGGATGGATGGAAGTTTTAATTGCCAAACCTTTCCATCCTCCCCCATGCATGCAAAAAGTCTATTTTCTGGCATGTTTATTTAATAATAAAATACGACAAAATTATGTGTTTAGCAGGATAAGCGCGCACGGCGTGTGGAAAGCACACGAGGAGATGAAGCGGGTTTTGTCACCGGCGCTGAAAACACGCGCGCTGATCTCTGTGGCTCCGTGTCGTGTGGCCGTGGGCTGCAGTGGCATTTCCTCCCTGTGCAGATTGACACGCACGTGTCCCCATCGCTCCGTTCGCCCAAAGAGAAGAGCGGGCGCCTTAATCACCAGAGACAGGGCCAAAGGGTGCCCCTGTCACCCATCAGTATCATTTAGGGCTTGGGAAGCACCCAACTCCTATAGGGGATGCCAATCAGCGCTCCGTGCTCATATCAGCCTTCATTTCATCCAGTCCCCAACACCGTTGTCTCCTTCATGCACCCACACTGTGCTGTGACAGCATCTGATGGAGCCGGGTCCCCAACCGGACTCAACACCACCCAAATCAGAGCAGAGACCTCCAGGGACGCATCGCAGCCCCACGCGATGCACCCAGCCCCTGCCCCATCGCCTCGAGCCCCCTCCTCCCTACAGCCCTCAGCACAACGCTGCCCTGGGAGCTTCCCCCCTTGGAAATTTCGCAGCCAACCTGCTAATGAGTCTTTGTGAACCTTGTGCCTTCTTACCTCTAATTGTACAGCCTGCTAGGATTTGAGCTCTGTGGACAGCCTCACATTTGGTTTAGAATTATAGGCTGAGTGGCTGTTCTCTCCTATTATTGTGCTGTCAATCTTGTATTAGCACATTATAATATGGTACACTGAATGCATCTGTTCTGTATATCACAAGTCCTAATTGTCATTTGTTGAATCACTTTGTCTTATATGATTGTTAAGCAATTATTTCATCCAAAGCGGCTTAAACTTTGATTACTGTATAGTGTTTACGGGGATCAAAGTAAAATCATCGGCTGCTTCAAACATTTTGCAGCTGAAACAGGCACAAGTGTCCATCCTGGACACGCAGGGATGCCAATACATAAGCAATGAGGAACGTGGATGTGATGACCTGGAGGTTCTTGCCATCTCTGTTTGTCCGGGGCGGATGAACGTCCAGCAAACGTGTAGGTAATGAACCAGATGCAAAGCGACGTTTCTGCCGGGATCACTCATGGGGAGACACTCGTGGCACAGCACCAGCAGTCCCCTACAGTGGGGCCGGGTGCTGAGCACAGACCCATCCTTTACACCAAGGTGCCCCATTGAAGAACCCCACAGAACACAGAGGAAGGAGAGCCGCGTTTTGCTCAGGGAGGCACAGCAGGGCTTGCATCCTCAACCTGCAATCTGCAGCTCGGGTCAGCGGAGGACAGCGTGGAGCAACACACGGTTCTGCTTTTCCTCCAGCTCCGAGAGGCACTCTGCTTGCTCGCGGGCTTTGCCCCACCGCAGCACAGCCCTCTGAAGTCGGGGTGATGGGATGCTCAGGCGCCGTCGCGGGGCATGGGAACCCAAAGCAGGGCAGGAGGGAGGGTTTGGCACCGAGGGCTTGGGCAATCCCATAATATCTGGCTGACAGCGTGGGAAGGAATGCGAGCCCATTGTTGTTGTTTTTTAAGTAGCCCGGACAGGATTGAGAGAAAAACGCTGGTGGCTCCTCAACCCCAGATGGTGCCACGAGCCAGCGAGGATGCACAGGCTGTCAAGAAAAATTCTGCTTAAAAACGTCTTCTTTAATGAGAGTTGAACGGAACCTGAGTGCCGCTCCGCAGCCCCTCGCCCGGCCAGCTGCAAATCACTGCTTGACACAACTGGAGCACGGCCCCACCAAGAGATTGAGCAGATCCTCTCCTCCCTTTGTTAGAGGCTAATGAATTGACCCATAGAAGTAATTTTCCAAATAATGGGCTGCGGACCCTAGAGCACAGAAATCTTTAAAAAGCAGAGCTGTCTCCAGATGTTCACAAAAGGAGGAGGGGGGCAGAAAGGGACGTGGCTGCAGCTCCGGTCCCAGAGCAGCACAGCTCTGTGCAAGGAGTTCTGCTGTGTGCACATCGCCCTTTGCACGGCTTCCAACTCGTCCTGCTATGGAAGGGGTTTTGAACGCATAGGATACGATGGAAGTGCACAGTTCTAGGAGGTCTCTTGGGTCGCAGCTTTGCCTGCAGAAAGTTTGCAGACGTGCAAGGCTGGTGGGACAGGCTGGGGGGGAAGAGGGTTGTTGCAAAAAGCTCAAGTTTCAGAAGCTCTGTTGGAGTAGGAGCCACGAGGAAAGCTAAGATGGCCAAAAGCAACGACGCTGAGAGCCTTCGTAATCCACCAAAGTGGATTTGTTTGACCGATGGGGGAAGAGTTCATAGGATCATTAGGGTTGGAAACCATAGATCCCAAGCCCAACCCATCCCCATTCACCACGACCCTCAGTGCCACGTCCCACAGCTCCCGATGGTGACCCCACCACCTCCCCAGATGCCCCATGCCAAAGTCCCACCACTCTTCCACAGGACATCATCCTAATATCCAACCTGAGCTAACCCAGACCATCGCTCCCAACCGTGAAGTTGTGCCCAACTCCATTTCCGTCGCCGCTCTTCCAGCAGGATGCTGCCCTGCCCTTCCCCACACCGAGCCCCGAATGAACCTGAGGAAGTCATCAACCACGGCAGCGAGCGCAGGTCAGGACGAGCAGGTAACAGGTAGCGCAGTGAAAAGGCAACCTGCGAGCATCGCCGCGGGAAAATTGCTTTTTAACAAGCAGACAACTTCTATCAATAGCAGCTACCGTATGTTTTTATAAAGTGCAGAAATATGTTTTTAAAAGGCCAGTAAATAAAGTTCCTATCGATTTGATCTCAAGTGTAATCTGTTTTTCTGTCTGCCACCAGGAGTGGTAATAAAAGAGCATCATGTAAGGCGGCGTTCTGGTTAATGCGGCCATACATCACGGCCGGGGCCGCGCGCTCCGCGGCCATCTATCATTTTCTATCGGGATTGCTTAGCTGCAGAATTTATAAACCTGCCCCCAAATTGGTGCGACGTCCAATTTTCTTTTCCAATTTACTTTTTGGTTGAGCGAAGCAATATCGAGGCGGGACAAGGAGGGCGAGTTTCCCATCTCTCCAGATGTTGGGCTTTGGGACGCGCCGCCCCCCAGCCAGCAGGCGCTTCGTGACCACGGCCGGCACTCAGCCCCAGCTGCGTGGCACGGAGCAACAAGGCTGATGCTCACTGCTTCGCTCACTGCACCGGGTGAGCGCCCTCAGCACCCGCTGCAGGCCAGATGCAGAGCGGTTGAGCCTCTGGGCACAGAGATGAGCGCGGCGAGGGGCGGCCCAGGGTAAGGATGGGCCACGTCCTGCCGTCCCCATCAGAAAACGCAAACAAGTTCTGCAGGGGGATCATTCTTGTGTTGTTTTTCTTGACAAAACAAAGCATTCCGAGGGAAGCAGACACTTCCTACGCGAGTTCTCATACCCCAAACCCAGCTTTTCTGCTGCTAATTTTGATGGAACGAGCAAACGAGCTCAGCCATCCCGTTACACCCATCCAGTGCCCATCAGGACCCGCAGTGCTGAGCGACACCACGCGCAAAGCGAGGTTTCCCTTCCTTGTAACTTTAATAAAGGAATAAATCAACCGAGTTTCCTGGCCTTAGAAATCCCACCGTAGGCACAAATAGCAAAACGCTCCTGCGCGTGCCTCGGATTCGGCGTGGTGGAGTCGTGCCTCAGTTCTGCCCATTTCTGGGTGGAATTTTGGGGGGAAAAGATTAACGCTGGAGGTGGTTTGAGGGAAGGAGCGCCTTCACAGCTCCGGGAGCAGGGAAAACGTTTCGGTGGTCAATATTTGTGTTCTCATAGAGAAACACCGAAGCGTTTCACCCAAAGCTCTTCAGCATCGATGTGTGGGAGACGATGCAACGCCACCCAACCCCTCACCCCAAATTAACTCCTGTTAATTGCGTCTCCACGGCGCGAAACACACCGAGCTGGGGCTGCGTTGGGCTGGGGGAAGGCAGAATGAAAGCAAAGCAAAGGAAGAAGCAGGGGCTGTGTCCTCAGATGACACCCGAATGCAATGCGCTTGGAAGGGATCGAGCTCCCAGCTCTCGCACGGCAGCACACAGCAGTGGGTGGCTCTGTGCACAGCATCCTCTGCCAGCTCTGGGCCTCTTTTTTCCTTCCTTTCTTTCTTCCTTTCTTTCCATTTTTATTTTCTTTGAATAGGCAGACATCCTTAAGACAAAGTTACGCTCCATTCCATGCGATCGACTTTGGGAAGAGACTCCTTGGATGCCGACGAAGCAGATGGAAGAACTGATTCCCGTCACTCTGAGATGCTCAGCGAGTTCCGTATCCCCTGCAGCTGTGGGAGCAGCTGTTGGGATGCCAACAGAGCGCGCTGGGACACCAACTCGGGGGCGAACCTCAGCAAGACGACGCCACCAACCCTCAGGCTGCCACCCCAAGGGGGCGACCCCAAGCAGGCAATCCTATCGTAGCACGCAGAGTCGGGCAGTGCTCCCCTCCCGGCGCGGGGTGCAGCGCCCAGGGGTGCCCACCCCAACGGCGCTCAGCTCGAAGTTCAATGCTGCCATCTGCTGGCATCGCTCGAACGCAACGGCAGCGCTCCCTTCGCCCCGTCGGGACGCGCCGCCGCCAGCATCGGCCCCAGCTCGGGCTGCGCTCCTTAACCCGGCTGTGCGGGAATGGAAACACCCAACCAGAGCTGCCTCTGCGTTCAAAAAGCTCGAAAATGTTTGTATATTTACTGCTTTTTCTCTGCTGCCATCAACAAAACAGAGCGGGTTTGCCACCCCCAAGCCCGAAAACCGAAGCCATGGGGAAGAGAGGGAATAAGCATCAAATCATCCCGATTTCGTGAAAAATGTTAGTAATAAGAAGCAGCAAGCACAACCTGAGCAATGATAGCATTGCAGGGGAGCAATGGCAGGGCCCACGCGGCACTCACCTTTTTGGCCTGAGGGTAGAGGACCTGGGGGCTGCCCCACTCCCTGCTGATGCGCCAACGGGACTGGTGGCAAGTGGGGATGTAGGTGCAGCCCACATCGCCCAGCTCTGGGTAGATGACTTCTAAGTTGCCTCTGGGGAGAGGAAAAGGGGAAAGAATGGGTCGGGTGGCACCACGCTGTGCAGGGGGTGGGTTTGGGTCAGCACGAGGCAGGAGGTCTGGGTTGCAACCTGTCACCACGGACAGCTTGCTGTGCAGCCTCCCATGCTGTAAGTGCAGGGTTTGCCTCCTTTCCTCATCCCCCCCAAGCAGCAATAATTGAGCTTTGAACACTCAGGATGGCTCAGATTGTTTCCGAGAGCTTCCAAAGCCTTAAAATCGTGGCCCATATGGCTGAACTCAAAGACTGAAGACAGGGAGCAAAGCCATCCCTGCTCCCCATTGGGCTCTGAGCTGCTTCTCCTTCCCGTGATACGTAAGCAGAGCTGAGCTTCGGGTGGATTTTGGGTACAGACAGCTCAATAATGGGTCAGATACCCCCAGCTTAGACTTGGAACAATTTCCCCTTCCCACAGCACAAGAACAGAGTGCCTTGAGGCCCTGGCAGGAGGGACTCTGGAATCTGCAACCCCAAGGGCTGCCAAGCAGCTTGGGGCTGACCCTACAGAGGCCAGGAGTTCAAAGCAAGGTGCTTCCACTCTGCTTGCACTCACCCACAACCTTCTATTCAGTCACATCCCATCCCAGAAGCGTTTTGAAGGCAGCAATAAGGAGGTATGTAACTCAGAAACCCCCAAAGGAAGGGATTGCACATCTCGTGCAAGCAGACTCCTGCCAGTGGGGAGGACAGCAATGGGTATTGATAGCCCTGGGGGGGAGGATGCTGGAAATGGCCGCCCCATGGGCTGGGGGAGGAGCTTTGGAAGGGGATTGCTCACCTGCAGAACTCGCTGTCCTTGCCGCTGAGGCTCTGGAAGGAGCAGATGTGAGAGGGTTCATCCGGCCACAGCATCTGGGGGGCAGAGAACCCCGGCAGGAGAGCAGCCAGCAGCACCGCAGCCAGCAGCCCCATGCTGCCCTGAGCAAACAAAGGACCTGGTCAGTGGGTCCCACCAGGACGTGGCACCACGCTGTGGCTCAGCTCAGTCCCCCCTTGCTCCCCTCTGAGCTATTTTCCTGATTTCTACCAATTCCACATCAGTGATGCCCAGCACAGACTGCGCCGCTGGGGACCCCGTGCTCAGGAACCCACTGTCACCTTCACCTGGAGGCTGCCACCACTGTGTCACAGGGAAGGAACAGAGCCCCGCTGCCCTTCCTACAAAAAGGCTTGGCCGTGGCCCAGCCCTGAGCCTGGGGAGGGCCAGGTTAGAGGGTCTGTACCCCACAGCCCTCCCCATAGCCCTGCAGCGTCCCCAAAGACCCCACAGCTCAGCACTCACCCGTGGGCACGGAGGATGGAGCAGCAGCTCCGTGGTTACCGTGGAGATGGGAGGGATGCCGGGGTTGGAATTGGGGGTGTGACAGCATAGGAAGGAGCAGCTCATCCCATAAAGACCCCCAAATCGTCACAGAAACCAGCAGTGGGTTCCATCCCCCCAACCCCACGACGGCTGTACCCACATCACCTCACCTGGCCCCAAATCCCCAAGCTCTCCCCGGCCCAACAAAAAGGATGTGACCCAACTTTCCCCATCACCCAAATCATTTAGAATGAGGCAAAACAAACACGAACCCACTGTCAGCTGGGAGCAGGGATTACAGCACAGTCGTTACATAATGGAGCGGCCGCACGCAGAGCGAGCACAAGTACAGCACCACCATCATTATGGACAGATAAAAAGCACCGGGCTCAACTGATTAGAAGCAGTAATGGATGGGGAACGACCCGGAGCTTTGGGGGCTAATAGCTGTAAGAGGAAAGCAGAAAAAACATCCGCTCTGCAGCTCTGTCCTGGATTGCTGCAGGCACAGACATGGGTCACAAAGAGCTTCGCTTGGAAGGAAGATTCACGATGGCAAAGCATCAGATTTTGGTATTTCATCTGGAGAACCATAAAGTCAGCACTCGGGGCACGAGGAGCAGTGCTGCTTCTCTCAAACTGGTCGGTCCTGCAGCAGTTCCATGGGGAAACCCAACACAAAGCGGGCGGGATGCACCCCGAGCAGCCCGGATAGGGGCATCCATAAGGGCACTCATCAGCCAGGGGGGCAGAGAGACCAACCTGGAGGCTCAGAGCAGAGCAGCATCAGCAGAAAAGGGTTTGCTGATCACTGAGGAGCAAAGTGCTCTCCAGGGACGCTCTGCAAGGACACCCCAGGGAGCAGCAACCTCTCACAGCAGATAAACGCAGCTCTCCCTCTCCAAAGCTATTTGCAGAGTAATTACAGAGATCCTATTTCTCCAGCTCGGGAGCTGCAGAGCCAGCAGGAAGCCCCCACGGAACAGCCCGATGTCAGCAGGCAATAAAACACACGGGGACACCACGGTGTCAGAGCATCTCCCACGAGACCGCAGGGCCAGCAGAGGGCTTGCAGCGCCGCCGGGCCCCGGCAGCAAGGAGCCAAACACGTGCCGGCAGTTTGTACCACCCTGCCACCCCTCAGAACATCCTCCTCCGTGGGAAAGCACGCGCCGGGCCGGGCCCCGAGCACAGCAGCAGGATGCGTGCGTGCGGCACGTTGCAGCTCCTGACTCAGCAGCGCAGGGTGCCAGGAATGCCGTCCTTCCTGCTGCTGGGAAGCTGCCGGCACGAGGCTCCCTGCGCTGCACCCACTGCCTGCACCCCGCGGCTGCTCCGTCCCATGCAGTGGCGCTGATGGAAGCCCTTTCTCCCTGAGGTTTGCTCTGATGCTTGTGCCAAGGGTTCTGCGTGGTGCGCAGCGAGTGGTGCTCCCTGCACATGCAGCAAGCTTTTCAGCACTTCAACGAATGCAACTCAGCTGCTGCAGGAAGAGCTGGGCTGGATTTCTGCCTCGGTTTCCCCACGGAGGACGTTGCTGACACTCATTTAGTGCTGCCCTGGGAGCAGCTCCAATTCCTACAGTCAGAAATGCATTGGTTCTGCTGCTCAGGGGGACTGCATGGAGGTGGCAGTGCTAGGGAAAAGTGGGGAAATCCCCTCCACTGTGCAGGAAGATCCTTTCTCAGCCCTTTTCATGGCAATCACAGGAAGCAGAAAGCCACATCCTGGCCCCCAGAGCACCTCCGCTGTGCCTTGCCCACACTGCAGGTTTTCTCTCTCTTCCTAAGGCCTACCCACAGCCAACACCCCATTTCCAGCCCCATTTCCAGCCCCATTTCCAGCCCCATTTCCA